TTAGTCGACCTCAGCACCAGCTGGCAGCTCTTTTTTTGCAATTGGAATGCCTTTACCGATTCCAATACATGTTTTGAATATTCGCCAAATCGGATCATAAAAAAGATTTTTAGTTATAACTCAACTCCAGCGCCAACTGGCGAATTAAATTGTGAAACTAAACTATCCAGAGACCCACTCAAACACACACACAAAACTTTGTTAAAATTAGGATTTCCCTCACAAATATACCTACAGAAGAATTATATAGACATTCAAAGATAAGTAAAAGTTAGTACGATTGTACTTTTCCACGCCCCTTTTTAAAGAGCCCATTTATCTCAATGAGTATGGGATTAATTTTCATATCTCCATACGAAATGTTCCAGTACTGTACCATGAACTCTTCCAGAGATATGCAGTATGAAATTCGGCTTGTAGGTGCCACGCCCCGTTTTCCAATAGCTCCATATTTTCTCCATGACTATGCGATTGATTTCATATATCACCACACCAAGTTCCAGTACTCTACTAAGAACAATTCTAGAGATGTGCAATAAGAAAGATTCTACTTGTATGGGAGGTGCCACGCCCGTATAAAGCTCCAGTACTCTACCATGAGCACTTCCAGAGATACTTATTATGAAAAATTCGGTTTTCAAATAGTCCGAATTTTTCGTCATGAGTATGCGATTGATTTCATATATCTCCATACCAAGTTCCAGTACTCTACCATGAACATTTCCAGAGATATGGAGTGCGAAAAATTCGGTTCGTATGGGAGGTTCCACGCCCCTTTTATATATCAAGATTGTTCTTAGCCGATATCCATCCTTTGAACGTCTGCAGCAAGTGACCGAAATTAAAAAAAATCGGTTCAGCCGTTCGCGAGCTTTGCGATATATGTACATGGATGGATAAGAGCTGCCGCTTTTAATATTGCGCTCACTTAAGTACAAAAAACTAGCCAGCACGGTTTTTATGCGTAATTATATACATACCTAAATATCATGGGTATGTACATAATTATGCATATACATACAAATGTAAGTGCTAACAGCAATGTAAGTTGCTCCTTGTGGCAACATAAACGACTCTACATACATAATTGCCTACATTATTTCTCCATATACAGTTCATACATATTTGTTTTATTTTTTTTTTAACATAAGAATCAACATTAACGTTAACATTATGTATTTTATTTTTTTTTGTAGAGGTGGCACAAAGCATTGAAAGCCGATAAGTGTGGGACTTGCCTTTCGGCTCACCGCACTAAAAACCCACCCCTGCTCCGTTTCCCTCCTTCCGTGGAACAACCGCAAGGTATTACTTCGCGGAGGGGGAGCGGCCTATTGCCTTTCTATGAAGATCTGCGGAGTTGTTCCGCTTGACGCAATTTTCTTAGGATAGTGCTTGCATGACAAACAACGGACCAATTTTCTGTTGACTCAAGCATGATATCCACCAGGTTGTCAACCTTAAGTGGCCTCCCCACCTTTATGCTCAAGTCGTCCCTTTGGGTTGCGAACTGCGGACAGACGAAAAAACAATGTTCAGCGTCTTCGATTACCTGCCCTGTACAGAAAGTGCAGTACGGGTCGTCCTCGTGCGTAAATCTGTGCAAGTATGCTTTAAAGCAGCCGTGTCCGGTTAGTCTTTGAGTCAGGTAGAAGTCAACCTCTCCATGTCTTCTGTCAAGCCATTTGCTTATACTCGGAATAAGTCTATATACCCAGCGTCCGTTAGTTGAGTGGTCCCAGCGGTCTTGCCACTGCTGCAAACAATTTCGTCTCACCCTTTCTTTCTCCTGCTTTTCAAATATTGCACCTATTTCTTTTGCCACTATGTCAATAGGACAGAGACCTGCTACTACTAACGCTGCTTCCTCTGACGTTGTTCGGAAAGCGCAACATACTCTTAAGGCATAAGGTACAGTGATCTAGCTTCCCGAGCGTAAGATTTCGTCTTCAGTGCTGTTGACCAAACTGGTGCTCCATACAGCAGAATGCTTCTAACTACACTTACATATACAAGTCTGCGTTCTTGCTTAGGCCCCCTGCGTTTAGCATTAGTCTTGACAGCCTTGCTGCTAATTTTTCCGCCTTTTCGACTGCAGATTCGATATGAGCTTTAAATGTGAGCCTAGTATCGAAAACGATGCCTAAGTATTTTAGACTCTCCGTCGAGGTTATTTCGGTGCCGCATACCCTAATTTTGGCCACTTCTCGTAGCTTTCTAGTGCTGAGCAAAACTGCCTCCGTCTGCTGGTGTGCCAGCTCCAGACCTGCTTCCGTCTGGCAATCGTTTACCCGGAGGATTGCAGAGTTTGCAGCCGTTAACATTATGTATGTATGTATGCATAGGTATACATAACCCTTGCTTTGCGCTGTATTCCGTAGGAATTAAGAGCAGAGGGCGCTCTCAGCGCAGTGTTAGATCCATAGGATTTTTAAAGTCCTCCAGTTCCATTTTTAGGAAAGTATTAAAACTTTTTTTTTGCCTAAGACAGTGAGAAGCCCATCTAGAATCTATAACCGAAATTTCCAAAAAATCGGTACTGCCGATCTCGAGCTTTGCGAACAGAAAAAAACCGGCTTTCAAAATATATATTAGTATAGATATGAAAAAAGTGCACCCTTAGGACTACTTAAATTAGTAATATCGCTGCCCCAAAAAGCAAAGACTCCTATTCACCTATGATTTTGTGAGAAGGACTCCTTAAATCCTCCGATGATAACCAAGACGGAGTGTTTTCGGAGTGATCCGATAATATACCGGAAAGAAGGCTTTACGGTTTTTCAAAATGTTCTTAATTTTATTTATCCTTACTAATATTATGAGTCCCAAAATGAGTTTAATAGGTTTATTACGCTTTCATGCTTTAACTAGCCAACCGATAATCATGCAATTTAGTCCTCTGGTGTCTTTAGCCCAATTTAAAATATAGGATGGATTTAATCTCGATTGTATCATAAAGTATATCGCAAGAAATATTTGGGATAAAGTACTGGAACTTGGTATGAAGTTATGTAAAATCAATTCCACACTCATGGAGAAGGGCTGCCAACTGTATAAAAAATCAAACTCAACTCGAAATAGCGGAATTATATTTATATAATTTATTTGAAAATTATATTACAAGGATTGCCACCCGATTAAAAATTAAATTCAACCGAAATGTTTTTGATCTGCATGGAGGACGGTTGCCACCTGTTTTAGAAATCAAATTCTACTTGAATAAAGAGAATTAGATAATTGGAATATGTATCGCGATATGGATGTCAGACCAACGGAGTTTACGAAGGTTTTAGTTGGAAAATGTTTTGGAGAGGGTTGCCACCAGTTTTAAAAGTCGAATGTTAATTAATTATACTCAAATTAAAGTGTCGAACGTAAGAGTGTTTAGAAATGTTCAGCTAAAGAAAATCAACATGTGAACGCTTGTTTGAGTTACTGTGTAAGTTCTTGTACAAATATTAATATTGCTTACACAGCCCATGAATTCAATGAAAATTCAGTTATTACCATGTTTGCATCACCTCATTTTCTTGTTTTTAATTAAAATATAGCTTAAATTCAGCCGTACCGTAGCTACGACCTTTTAATAAAAATCTATTTGGCTTTTCACACGTGCTTGGTTATCAGGTTATCTGGCTAAAAATTATTATTCTGTAGTGTATTTTATTGTTGTAAACTGAATAAAAAATATAACCTGATAACCAGGCAAGTGTGACCAGCCTCTATTTATTTTATAAAAATCAAATTTTCGGGTCATAAATTTTTCAAAATACAAAACTGAGAAATTCAGCGTTATTATATAGTAAAATATCGTGGAATTTGTATCTTTCGTAAATACCAATACATGGCAGGTCAGCGTGGTTATTGTCCGATGTCAACAAGTTGCAAAGAATGCTTAAATGGGGCTAACAGTAATAAGTGTACAAAGTTTGGATGAAATCGGCTCGGCACGTACACATATTTTCTCATAAGTGCGCTTGACCACGCCCATTTAAAAAAAAAAATAAATATTAAATTTTTTGCTTAAAGTTGACTCCATACATATATCAATTTTTAGTAATTTGGCTGCAGTAGTTATTTAAGTAACAGTTTTCGCTTTGTTTTTCAAAAATACCGTTATGTGGAAGGCAAGCGCTGTTTTCATCCGATTTCACCCATTTTCATTATTTAATAACCTACCCTGGGCAAAGAAAACCAAGTGTACCAAAATTGCGAAATGTCTATTAGTTTCCGAGAAAACGAGTTTTGACCATTGCTCCATACCACTGAACCACTGTGCGCTGGTTAGGTAAAGTGCTAGACTTTTATAAAAAATATAAACAAAAAGTCATTTGACTTAATCAGCTGACCACAAGGGTACATACGACTTAGGTTTTAATTTCGCCTCAGACATTTATGTATTTTAACACACATTTTTTTGGTTTTGGCTATTAAATTATGGGAACGATTCACATATTCACATGGAATTTGTGATAAGGCTGAATATGAATAACGTGTCATATGGAATTAAGAAAAAGCACTAGTTTTTCTTTTTTATTAGTTTTTATGCAAGAAAGTTCATTTCTTCTACGAAATTAACAGACAGTTTCAGCAGCAATTTAAATGGAAAATGAGTTTTTATTTATTTTTTTATTGGCTGTAAATTTTTATAATTTATCCTTATTAATAAACTTTAAAAATATTAACATAAAATCAATAAAAATCTATGGAATTTTCATAATTTATTCGTTTTATCTCTTGGACTAGAAATTTTTCATATATGTAGGCAATCTTGTTATATGCCGAAGTGTCGGAGATAACTAGCTGAAATAATATTGTGAACTCATAATTACTTTAAAAATGTTTTAAACGAAAATATTTTTATTTATTTGAATCGTACTGGTGGTTTGATTTACATATACATAGATATGTATGTATGTATGTATGTATGTATGTGCGTGTGTGCATATGTAAATAACTAAGTAATATTAAAAATTAAATTCTTTATTCTATGTATATAGCTGCCTATTTCTATGTGGGCAACACGCCGAAACCCAGCAACGATGGAGCACAACGTCTGCGAGATGAACGTGGTGGGGACAGTGCGCTCACTCGACGATATCGTAATAAAGATGTAACACTTTCCTTGCCCGATGGTAAAACTTTGAGAGACATCAAATGGTTTTCGGTTTGGTGCGACGAGTTTGCCGTTAATTTTGGTGATGTTTCCGTACCAAGTGATTTGGACTTTCCTAGGCCGCAAAAAATTGCAGCTCTCAAAGGAGTGCATGGTGTATCCTCGGACAGCATCGTAATTGTGGATGCACAAACTCTTTTAATACCAAATTTTAGTTACGATGGAGAGGCACCAGGTGAGCCGCAAAATTTATTCTAAGTTAAATAAACACGATTGTCATACCAGTGTTGCCAAGTTTTGAATTTGAAAAAGCACTAACAGTAAAGATTGTTTCTAAAAATTAGATACAGATTCGTATAAGTAATAATTATTTATCATACATCAATTTGCAGATGCGAAATTCTGGGTAGGTCGCGGACAGCGGCCCAGTCCTCAAGGTCTTCGAATACCCGACGAAAATGGCAAAGAAAATCCACTTCGTCGATACGATCGAAAAACTATTGTGCTCACCCTACCTGACGATTTGACTATTTTCGACATAGGACACTTTGGAGTATGGTGCGAGGCTTTCACTGTCGACTTTGGCCATGTTCGTATACCCGAAGGATTGAACGTGCCACCGTCTCTGAAAATGCTTGGCATTAGCCCCCAGGTAAAAAAGCGCGTGCATGCTTTACGCTTAACTGTATAAGAAGATAGAAGGAAAAACAGTGTTGCTGCATTGCGCACTGCTTAATGTAAAGTGTTTTCTCTTCGCTTCGTTTACATTTTATTTAAAGAAATAATGATTCATGGCCCCAGAAAATGATTCTTTCAGAGCTAGCTGAAGTGAAAGTTTCCTTATGAAGACTACTAGCTGCCCTATTAACGCATAGGGCTTCGTGGCGAAGCTTAATTCATGCATGAATTTAATGTGATTATTAGGGCAACCAAAAATATGCAGTAAAACATGATTTTAAGCGCTTAGAAAATGCACGATAAAAAAGAAATATGCATAAATATGCAAGAATAATATTAAAAACATGCTTAAAATATGAATTTAAACAAATAAATAGCTCAAAGTTTTTTGTGTAAAAATCTGTGCGCAAAATTTACAAAAACACTGGTAAAAATAAAATATTACACATTCAGACGTATTCACCTACATATGTATGTATAAATATAAAAATGCAAATTTAACTTAAATATTTTTGTTCCAATAAATATTCGGATACATTTTCAGAAAGACATAATTGCCTGTTATCATGGAATACATTCCTAAACATGCAAAAGGCACAAACTTAAAGGTAGAAATTTCAGTCACTGAATATTTTTCAATCGGATGAATTGAATTACCGGATTCAATTAGGCCTATATAATTTTTTAATACAGCAAAGCCCTGTGTTTTTGCTAAAAAAGATAAAGTCAATGCTGTTGCTTCTAGTGGCCAAAAATTGTGTTTAAAAAATAAGCACAAATCCACATAAAAATTGTTTCGAAGTTAATTAAACGTTTTAACGGTAACCGCGCACAAGCGCACGCAATGTTGTCCTCAGAAATCCCTCAAAAGCTGCTTACACAGGTAACTAGTGGAAGAAAAATGAGAGATTTTATTTCGACACAATTCTGATTTCCATTTGCTTAATTTTGTTGCCGGTGAAACACAATATCGACGAACGGCGAATTTTCGCACAGTAGTGCGACGACGCCGGCAACTTTCGTCAAAAAATTTCGCTCAGTAAAACTGCTGCTATGACAAGGTACAATTAAAATTTTTCCAAACAATAAGATTATTAATTTTTAACAAAAACTAATACAGTATTTTTCAATTTCGATTTAAAAACTTGAGAATATTTAGCATATGGCCACAATGGATCGTATTTTGCCACTGCCGCCAGCGACGACGATAGAAATAAGTCTAGCGTTGCGAACAGTCGTCGGACGAAGGTCGTAGTTTGCTTTGGTTGTGTGCGTTCTCATATACAACAGTGTTTTTTAATTTTTACAGCGAACATTCGCGACAAAAAATTCGCCGTTCGTCGGCATTCTGTTTCAGCGGTTAAGAGCCCCATAAGCTAGGTAAAATTCTGACGTACGTATCCAGCACGAGAAATGTCAAATTTTTAGTTTCATCTGTCAAAATTTTATATTTTCTATCAATCGGCACAGGCCCTTAGTGTAAAGCTCTATACAAAATTTGACGAATTTTATAGGCCTTACGGGCTTGGGAATTTTTAACCACCTAATAAATAGCTGTCAAAAATCTACCATCCAGAGTAGTGTTCTATCAATTGGCACAGGCCCTATAATTAAAAAAATATTTTTTTTTTTTTATATCACCAAATTTAGCATTTATTTCTAAAATATGCAAAAAAAAAATCATTTATTGCGAAATATGCCGAAATATGCTCTAACAAATATGACTAAAACGATTTATTTTTTTACAATTAGCATTTCCTTTTTATGCATTTTGTGATACAGTATAAGAAAAAAAACATGCTCGAGCATATTTTTTTGGTTGCCCTAGTGATTATGTATTTATCATAGTATAGTTTTGGCAAATATTCGATGCAAGTACTTGGGCATTAGAGTTCTGTAGAAATTTATTCAATACGGCAAATTAATCATTTCTATTTAACATAAAAAGGAAAAGCTCGGCCAAGCACTAACAAATATCAGTGTAAGCGCCAATCTATTATTATTATTATTATTATTATTATTTTTATTTAACATAAAATGCGAATTTGGCTTTGAGTTTTCTGGAATTGGAGAGAATACACAATAAAAGTACTCACGGATGCAAAACCCTGGGAAATTGTGCAATTTATGCCTTTGCAAATAAATTGGCCAAATTAGTTATTTTCACGAAAGCAAAGAAAGTCATAATTCTCAAATTCGAGCCAAAAGGATCGAAGCATTTTCGGAACCAGTGGCCTGAAATTACCATAGAAAATAGGTGGCGTTCTTTGCGTGATTGGGTATCTTGTCACTCCAACTTTTATTTTCAAAATGTCGTTAGGGACAGGAATTTTTTTTTCATCCCAAATTGTTGTGTTTCCCGTTCGTTTGCAACTATGTACAGGTTTTCTTAAAATCTAAAAATTCCAACAAGTCATTAAAATAATATACTTACTGTCTTTTCACTAGTAGCTTTGAAAATTCATCTGCCCTTCAAGCACATTTTTTTTAACATAATTTGTTAACTGAGTACAATGGGATTCGCCCTTGACTTCATATAAGAGCGGCTCTGGTAATACGATGTCATCCAAATCCTTGCAGTTGTTTGTAAGCAGAACGGAATCTCGGAATGTAGTAGTGCAATATTTTGGTCAGTTTTGATTGCAGTATGCAGTTTTGTAGCCCCCAAGTTTCAAGTGGGTAAAAAATCCCGTTAATTTTTTTGGTTGAAGGTGTTTCGCATTTTTTCCATACAAAGTATGATCGACAATTTTGTTTTATATGGAAGACACTATCATGTACATATGTATTGTTGCCTCTGGAACGAAAGAAATTTACAAAAAAAACTCGCGCCGATTTCTAATTTTGCAACCTCAAAACAAACTTACCTCAATACCAACTTTATTTGTTAATGCGGGCCACGCACACAAAATTTAAATTTTTTGCAAAATGGTGGTTGTGAATCGTTCTTGAATCTGTATAGTGGAGTTTTAGTACAGTTTTGGCAATTTCAAAATGGGGGAATACCATTAGAAATCCAATATGCATAGGCCCCTATTATGAGTTACATTCGACCTTCGACTGTGGTCGAAAGTGCTGATGGAACGAATTTTCATTTGGTATTATGGCGCTCATTCGATGAAGACTAGCGCTATTGTGAATTTCGCTCGTTTCGGTTGTTCACAATAGTATATTTTTCACCGCTGAGAAGCATTGTTTACAAATCGAGCTAACTAAATAGTGTGCTTATATGTACATACATATGTACATATGTAAATTTGTGCAAATTAAAATGCAATAAAAAAGAAAGCGAGTTTATAAAAACGTGGTAAAAATTAGTACAACGGAGTTCTGGTTCAACGATTCGTCAGAGAATGAGAGCTTAGAAAACTGGCCAGGAGCAGAAAACGTTTAAGAGAGTTGAAGTGTAGTCTTTCGAATATATTTTGACATACAATTTATTTAAGAAATTTTGCCAACTAAATCTATTTAAAATAGGTTTGTTCCACAAGCTACTCGAAGTCACTTCGAGTTACACATACGCGTTTCACAAGTAAGTTTTAGAGTTTGTTTGGTATTCGCTGACAGTTTGAACTTTGCTCTAGTTTTTCTACAAGTAGCTTGGGGAACAAACCAAATTATTAAAACCATGATACAAAAATTTGAAGGTAATACCGCTGGGAGGCAACCTGAACATTTTTGTTTTACTTTTATTTGGCATTTGAGTTGCTCTCAAAATTTAAATTTTATAAAGTAGACAAACTTCAAAAAATAAATGATGGCCGACGAATTGAGCGAGCGGGTTTACCTTTAAATATTTGTATGATGGCAAAACCTTAACAAGGTGAAACCATTGAGAGGCAGTCTGACGTTTGCGAGCAATATAATTTTAAAATTTAAAACTCAAACTCACACACACATTCCCATTTTCAATCTCAAACAACAACAATCGTGGACAATTTCATTTATTTATTTTCAATTACCTATGATTTTAAAATGCTGGCAAACGTCAGAAAAAAAATCATAGCCGACGAATTGAGAGATTTCATGTAGGCTTTACGTGATTTCCTGCCAACGGCTTTAACCACGGTGCCCGCATTTGGCACAACGGATTAATTTTTGCACTAATCACTGCCCTGAACTGCAAGCACTTCAGTACCAATTGGCAGTATGTGGTGGACACACTTACCACCTTGGTAGGGCCGAGGCCTACCTAAACCTCTGACGATCTGTGGATCACGACATCCGGTTGCAATGCAACTCCACATTGAACCATTGCTGGTTCTACCCGCATTTAGGTATTAAACCACAGCCACCACGATACTCCCCAAAGGGGCCGTACCCATGAAACGAATTGAGAGAATGAATTTACCTTGTAATGTTCTTATCAAGGCGAAATGAATTAAAGTGGTGTTACTAGCTCAGCTGATTGTGTGTATGTGTTTCGCCGCACGGCTTCTGATATCAAATTGAAAAAGTTTGTTTGAATTTCTACACACACTCTTACAGATTTTGACAGTTTATGCCGCCAAAGCAAAAACAAAATACATGTAAATTTTTGTTTTTGTACTCCTGCTATCACCTTATATTAATTCGCCTTTGTTTTTATCATGATTAAAACTATAAACAGCTCTATGATTTTTTTACCAGAGATCGTGCCTACAGAGCAGGGTTGTTGCGAATATTATTCCGCAATAAAAGTCCATTCCGGATAATAAACCAACCGCTCATCCCAATTAAACAAGTTCGGTATCAAATGAAAGAGGACTTATTAGTTATGAATTTCTTTAGTATTAAATTATAAAAAAATATAAATAGAGGTCGTTCGTTATTTCTGTTTAAAAGCTATTTCAGTCCCCTTTCATATGATACCAAATTTGTTTAATTTGGACAGGCGGTTTGTTTATTATCCGGAAAGGACTTTTATTTCGGAATAATATTCGCAACAACCCTGCTACAGAGTATTGGGATTTAGTTTCATAAGTAAAGCCAGCTTTTCGAACGTGTTTTTTTAGTATTCACGAAGTTAGAACTGCATGAAATTAACAAAAATTGTTTAAAATCAGTTTCTAGTCGCCAGAAAGTAAGAAATTAAATGCAAAATCATACATTTTTCAAATTTTTCTAACACTTCACTATACCAACGAAAGCAAATTTCTGTTCGACAGAAAATTCGATACTCAACGTAAATTTCGGCACGCTTGCATAGGTCATAATACGAATTTCTGTTTCGATCTTCGATAGCCAACGAAGATCGAAAATCGAATGCAACTCATAATAAGGGCCATAGACTTAGTATTTCAGCCGAAATACCTTAAAAGGCTTACAATTTTATTTGTAGGCATTTATCAAGCATTGTCTTTATTCTGTTTAGGCGCCTTAAAGCAAGGACCGCAATTGTTCTGATGATTGATTTAACGGTGATAATTTAACTTTGATTCTTGGTGTCTCCGATTGACTTCACTTGACGATTTTTACCAATAACTCGACTCCAGCGCCCCCTTGCAGCTTTTTTTTGTGCAATAGTAGATATCGCCCCTACCTGGCTACGCCCATGTGCATGGTGTAAAGAGTTTTTGTTTAATACTATTAGAAGAATTAGTAAAAATACATACGTACATACATACTACGTATGTACATAAATACGTATTTATTACATGCAGAGATTGCCACAATTCCGGTAATTTTTTGCAACATCACAATTCACATGCTTAATGGCTATCGTACTCAATGCTTTCGTTTTTGGGCTTTTCTACCGAATGTGGTAGTTGTTTTTGTTGCTCTTGATATCTTAGTTTGAATGAGTTTTTGGTAGGTCTTGGTCGTGTTAGGAAATGAAAATACAGACTTGCACACTTGTACAAGTGTATACATATTTCAGAAGTATCCTAAAAACTATGTACTATGCACAAATGAGCTTTAAAATTTGGAGATTTTATGACTCATTTTAGGTGAACATCAGATTATTTGGAAATTATTTCTTGGCTATTGTTTTAATTGTGTTCTTAATTTTTGTTACGCATTTTCACGCTCACTTGGGCATTCTTAGTATATTACTGGAAATAGAATGGAATACAAATGTTAATCAATCTTCGCCAATTTCAAATCAATTTATTTTCATTTCAAATAATTTTAAATTATTTAAATAAACAGCATTGGACATTTAAGAAAATATGCGATATGAAAATGAACATCGATATGTGGTTAAATTAATCATCTTAAATTGCCCGCAAGAGTTTATATCGACCTAGTCTTCGCAGGGATGCCGACGTTCAGAACTAGAACTTAGATTGCTACAAAATTAATTGGATATGTCGATGACATTTAACATATTTTCCGCTGGTCGACAAGCAAAATCTATTTGCTTGCTGCATCTTTAACTTTGTTCCATTTAAGTGGGAAGTTTGGAATCTGTAGGCAATACATACATATCGTTTCTTTTAACAAAATATAATTCGACAGAATCAATTACCTTTTGAAGCATTTCAAGAATACAGATTTTAAAATAAGTTTCTAGTATTTATAAATATATTGATTTAAATCAACTTTATGAACTAAGTTGTTAAAAGTTTATACACTTATGTATTTAACAAAAAAAGAACGCAATTTTTTTCAAAGTTATGCACAAATTCTTTTGTGAACATCAGCTACTAACACATATTTATGTACATAAATTTAAATACCTATACATTCATATGTAAGTGCAACTTTATATTTATTACAAAATGTTAGGTTAAGAGACAGATAAACATATTGGTTTTGCTGAAGTCAATCGTAAATTCGGCAGACAAAAATTAGAGATAGAGAGGAAAGAAGGGCAATTTCTTTGCTCGATTTGGAAACACTGTGGAAAGAAAACTACTGTTAATAATTTTAGACATTATATATACATATATATATATATCGAGCCCTAACCGCCAAAATAATGTAAGCGACATTATTTTCAAAATTTTCCTTTTGATGCAAAAATGCATCTACATTCTCTAGGAATATTTCTGCATCCAAAAGAAAATTTTGAAAAAAATGTCGCTTACGTTATTTTGGCGGTTAGGGCTCGATATATGTACATATGTATGTATGTATGTATGTATGTATGATGCATACCCATATTTGAATTGGAAAACCATTAGGGGTACTCACGATCCGGTGCATACGGTGCATAGATAGCATAAATAGCATGATTGGATAATTTTGTTGTTTTTTCATGTCTTCAAACAACAACAACATTAGCCAATCATGCTATCTATGCACCATGCTAGACAGTATGCACCGGATTGTGAATACCCCTATTAATTGCTTTTGTGCATTATTAGATACATATACACATACATACATAGATATGTACATGCTATAATTAATTATTTTGAATTTTATTTCAAAATAAAAAACTAACAACTTTTATTTAAGGAATCGCGCGCTTCCTTTTAAAATTTTGTATTGCGCTAATTTTTATTTATGTAAAGCAATATGTATGCTGGAATGGAAATTGTATATATATGCATATGTATGTATCTATATATGCATATTTGTAAGTCAGTTATATAAATATATTTTTATATTCCATACAAACGTGAAAACTGTGTTTTGAATGATTTTTTTAATTTTTTGAAAATACAAAATGAAATGTGTACAGAACCAAGAGAAGTACGAAATAAATATGTACGTATGTACATACATACGAGTAGATCAGAAAAAGTTTAATTTTTTAAATAAGTAATACCCAAAACTCATAAAAATGTTACGTGCATATGTATGAGTCTACATCCATTTTTGTTGCAAAAGCCATTGCTTCATTTATCTTACTAACAATTAAAGAGTCTAGTTAAATTGTATACATACTTAGTTCAGTTCAAAATTATACAGCATATTCATTTTGTATGTTCATGCATCAAGAAATTATAAAGTTGTTCAAAAACACACAATTTTAAGAAGTAATATTTGGTACTTCTACACCCCGCTTCACTTGAAAAGATACATGAGTTTACACAAGAACCTAGCTTCATTTGGCCAGAATATGGCTTATATAGTTCGCTCTTATGTGGATTTTAATAAAACAATACGGAAAATGTACTTCCAAATTGTATTCACTGGAATAGGCACAGTGCTCATAGCAAACAAAGAACACAGAAAAACTAAGAAGATGCACAATTTCTCCAGCTTACATATTTACCTCTTCTTCGCAGGAGATTCGCCATGCTTATTCAAATAAAAATCAATTTAATTTTCTATACATATGTATGTTTTGCATTAAATTATTATTCGAATAGTACAACCAAGCTTTTTCTATGTTCTTTGTAGCAAACTTAATAAAATTGTACTTGCTACCAGCATAACTTTTGGGATATAATATTTGGCTAATGAAATCAAGAACTATTCAAAATTTCTTTGTAATTGTGGTATAGCCCTATGGCTAAAGATTTTAGAGTACCATATTCGAAATGGCTCCATTTGTCCTCCAGCAGCGGCGAAGTCGTTCCGTGGCCACTCACCGCTGGCAGTGCGCACCGAACGCATTGGCTCAACAACACCTCGATGTCGAGTGCACTTAGGTATTTTTTCAATGCGATACATGCGCTGAAAGCCGGATAAAAAACAACCTTATCAACCTTTAATTGTAATGGGTGTAAATTCATGTACCAAAACATTTGCTGGTACAAACTTGTATTGAGCGTTTAGAATGCCATTTCCAGTATCACAGAGTAAATATGGTCCAAACTGGCGCCGTTGTTTATGCAGATCCAAGATTTTTCCGGCGAGCTATTGCGAATACAATGAAACCGAAGTGTGAATAGCCCTGACCCAGCATCGTATGGTAAAAACACGGAATAGAGCTATAACAAATCGGCTGCACGGAAATTAGAAAGAGGTCGATTATGAGATCTGGTTACGGCTTTATATCGTTGTCAAATTAACCGTCTAAATGGACTTAGCAACTTTTCACTTTCAGCCAGCGACATGTTAAATATAGATTTGGAAACAGAATCAATTTTAATAAACTTTGAGTAACTTATATTATACGTTTATTCTTTTTTAATTACGTGAAATTTGTACATAAAAGTGTGCAGCAGTTTGTTTGAATTTATTTAAAACGGGAACATACCTTTTTGTCAAAAGCCTACAAAACGCTTTCAAATACAACATTTGCTTATTTGAAACTTTGAGGCGCTTAAAGCAAGTAAAGCAAAGCTCCTATTTGGCCACCCCTCATACGTTTTAGTATATTCCAAATGACTTTTGACAGTTCTCAAAGCGAAGTAAGCAAAGCAAGTCTGCATTGGGCCAGTGCCTTAAAATTTTATAAGCCTTGTAACTGCATACCAAAAATTTTATAAAAATTCTGATTAAAAATTTCAAAATTTTGATAACAATTTATGGAATTTTTCCAAATTTTGTATAAAGTTTGATTTATATGGTTTTTCAAAGCATGAATCATATTTTTATAAAAAATAACCACAAAATTTTAGCTTGAAAAACATTGTAATATTAAAAACAAAACACAATTCATCCACTTTTGACCGCCAGGTATGTACATACATGCTTTAATTTTCTTTTACATTTTCCAGTCAAGATTGAATTGTGAAGTTCTTTATGACGATTTAGCATTTGAAGTGAGGTGGGCCGTAGCCGGTGACAGCATTGTAATACAACTTATAGCCAAATTGGGTAAGTGGTAGGATAGTCATTTAAATATTTATTACCGAAAGAGATTTGAAATATTAAATCTTGTAAGCAGATATTTATTTGTAAACGTATATGTATGTACATATGTATCTCACCAAGAAAATTGATTCCCCTTCCCCAAACAAACCTAAAAGAAATAAAGTTTTGGCGAAGCCGAAACTCACAAACCCGTTTCAAGTATTCTTAACCAGTAATTGGCACACAGGGTCCAGTGGACCCTAGAGCAATTTTGCGGCAATATATTTTATATAAAAATTTTTTAAAATCGTCTTCGTGACTTCACTTCTTATTACTAGAGTTTAATTCAATAATTTCAGGCCGTTCGGAAAGCCAGTGTGACGTCAACTGTGTGATCATAGTGTGGCAAAACCAAGCTTTTTATGTGTTAAATTACTATTTGTGGCGTAGATTCTAGTATTCGTTCCATACACATTTTTAACGGCCCGATTCTGTGCACTTGATAAATTGAAAATCTTTATAATTTGTCAACTTTTTGTTATTTATCAAGGATTGGTATTCGAGCACAGAAATCAAGGCGAATACATATAAGGTGGTATCGATTCAACAAATACAACAATTACTTGTATTTTGTTTTTGCTTTTAGCGGGCCATTGTCAAATTTCAGCTATTCTTCCTCGAATGATAAAGGGCGACAGAAAATACAAACACTCTCACGTTTTCACTTACTCGCTAACCATGATTCAATAATACAAGGTTGGATAAATATTGACATTTGTGTCAATCGACTGCCTTGTAAGGTTGCATTGATATTCCGGTATATATTTAACAAAATTAATGGAATTCAAACAAATCCTTTATTCAAAGGGACTATATGAAGAATTATACAAATGGTAAAGATGCAATTGATTTAATGCATATAAATTAATCTTTTAAAAGGTATTATATTTGTTGCATTTAAAGATTGCATGTTTAATATCTTAAATTGAATTACATTTGGTTTTTTTTTTAATTTACATTTTTTAGTAATGTTTTTTACTTTTTTCTCCAATCAGTCTTGCTAATCATTATATTGGTTACATTTAAAAGTTAGATCTTCAATATCGCAATTTAATTACATTTGGTTATTTAAAAATCTAATTTTTGTGGAACGTTTTTTACTTTTTTCTACAATCAGTCTTGTTAATCATTATATCGGTTAAACTTTAAAATATGTCTTCAATACATTACATTTCGTTTTTTAAAAATGTTAATTTTTTGTAATGATGTGTACTTTTTTCTGCAATTTTCCACTTTCGCTTTGATGGAGTGGTATACTTACTTGTAAATATGCAAAGGCTACACTTGACCAACCCAAAGGCTGCAGTGGTAAAAATACATGCACCAGCAAACGTGGACGGACAGCCAAATGATCCTGACCTTCACAAGAGAATATATTTATTAATATTTGTACTACCATACGTGGATGGATACAGGGATACTAGCATTCAAAACTTACTTGCAACGGTTGCACTTGTTGTAAAACGCTACTTTTTGCCAAATAAATATGTAAATTATTGTTGTAATTCAAAATATATCCATTATTTTTGATTTTTTTGCCATACTTACTTGAATTTGCTCAATAAGAAAATGAATTTCCTCGAAACATTCGATGAAAATATCGGCAGTGTTGCCTGTTGAAGTTTTTATACGAAGACAATATTTCTCCTTGTATTTTAGTAGTAGTTTTTATAAATCAAAAAAGAAGGCAACGCAGGCTAAGTCAGAATGCGGGAGCGAGACAACTGCCACGTTATCCAACCTTGTATTATTGAATCATGCTCGATAACGAAATACAAAATATTGACAATCAAACGCTACTCACAGCTGATGAAACAACACCACCTTATATAAATTGACAGAAATCAAAAGCTCTTTTCTTGATAAATTATCAAGATTGAAAATGCTATTGACAAATTGAAATTTCATGTGAAATGTATAAATTTTGTATATTAATTAGGGCTGTGCTTTGGAAAATGCTTATTTTCTTTTTTACATTCTGTATATGAAAAAAAATTTTCGTTTTAATTTTTGAAAACAGAAACTTTGTTTTCAAAGTATCAAGGAACTTTAACTACTTTATACGTATATAAAGAGTTGAAATGTTGATTACTCATTTTACTCGAAATGTTGATTAAACATAAAGCAACTTACTCTAATATTTTTTTTTTGTTAATCAAAAATCTTGATTACTCGAGTAACTGAATTTTTGAGTAATCATAATTCCCAATTAATCGAATAATTGAGTTATTTACTTTATGATTAACTAAAATTTTGAGTAATCAATCGCACAGCCCTACTATGTACATAAATATACATATGTAGATGTATTTTTAATGACAATGTGTGGTCAAGACCAGGGACTGTAATCATTATAAGTAAAATAATTTAAACTAGTGAACCCGCATGGCGTTAAAATGCCCAAAATTTAATTTCAAAAACTTATGGCCTTATTCATAAAAAATAAAGTAGGTTTAAAGAGCTTTATAAAGTGACGTTTTCATACATTTTTCAATTTATAAACCTTTTATAAAGCTACTTTATTTTTTATGAATAAGGCTGTTAAAATTTATTCCAAATGTTAGTCAGAGTTATAAGAGATCCGAGTGCCACATTTCATCAAAACCGTACAGCCGTTTCTGAGTCGCAAAGTGCATGTTTTTATTTTCATCGAATTTTAAATCACTCTATACCGATAGCAAAAGATCTTAATTAAAAAAATAAAACTTTAACATACATCTAATGTCTCTAATTTGACTTCTCATTTATAAAATTCCTTTACTAAAGGATTCTCAAATTAAAATCTTCTTAAATCTCTTTAGTCTGACAATGTGATACACAGTTTGAATGTAACTTTTTAAACACGTGGCAACTCTCTTCAAACATTCGAAATGCTCAAACTAAAGATTTCTTAAAATTCTTTCGTTTGACTACGGTATCTTTATATTTCATATATTTTTGAATTAGTTAATTGAGTTAGCCCTTTCAAACAGATGGTAGGTAGCCCTCTTCAAAAGTATTTTCATTGTTAACTCTCCTTCGCCGGAAATTGCGATACATATTTTAATTAACTGATGAATGAAGTGGAATTTTAATTTTCAAACATGTGGCGACCCCGCTCGATACAGTTCAGAAATAAAATATTTTCAACCCCCTTCGATTCAAACCTATATTTTTATAAAATAATTTAAAGTTAACTTTCTAAAAAGGTGGCAACCCTCTTCCAACACCTCAAAAATATTCTTAGCGTTCAAACTAAATATTTCTTAACGCTCCTTCGTTTGATATGCATATTTTGATATTTCGTATAACTTGTGTATAAGTAAACTAAATTCGATAATTTAAGCAGGTGGCCGCCCTCTTCAAAATATTTTTACACCACTACTTTCTGAAACACCCTTCATTTGGTACCCATATGGTGATACATATTTCTATTACCTAATATGATTTTTTAAACTGGTGGCAACCCTCCTATAGTTGAGTTAAGAAACGAGGATTTTGCAAAATAATTTTAATGGATTTTTTAAAATGTGGCAACTCTTTTCAAAAAAGTAAAACCTCATTGCATATCTGCAGTTAACGCGTTTTAATTTGACGCCTCATTTTAGAAAATCGAACGAACGGTGCGGATTTGGTGGCATTGATTATTAAATAATTTGAATTTGATTTTTCAACAGGCGGCAACTCTTTTCGAAAAACAAAAACCAGTTCGCACATCTACAGACCAAGCGCTTTAATTTGACATCTCATTTTTGAAAATCGAGCGAACGGTACAGATCTTTTATACTGGACAAAAATTCCCTTCGCGTATTATATATCGCACACCGTCTTCAAAAGAGTCACAACTCAAAATACTACGTTCGTCATAAAATGCGAAAAAACTATTTCGTAGCACATGCTAATCATATGTATGGACAAGGGCGACTTTACCTTAGGTTTTTTAACAAATTATAACAAAAATTTGCTCCAGCTATCGCTGAAAGGTAAACAAAAGCTCTGTGTACATTTTTAGCGCATAATTTCCAAAATGCCAAATTTCGAGTTGTGACTCTTTTGAAAACGGTGTGCGATGTATAGATCAGCATTTAATCATTATTTTATGATTTCTATTTTTGCCATCATAAATAATAATTATTTTATGATTTATATTTTTTCCATCATATATAATGATTATTTTATGATATTTATTTTACCGCTCAGAGAAAAAAAATATTATTGATTTTTATTTTAAACCTAAAAGTAATGATTATTTTTTAAAGTTAAATAACCAGTAGAAATCGGTTGTATGCATTCATGAAGAATGCATGAATTAGTGTGAACAATTCATGCGTAGTCATGAATTTCCACGAATAAATTCAAATTCTAGCGAATTGCAAGCGAATGTACGTTGTCGTTGTTTTGAGTACATTTCTTGATAAATTTAAAGTGGAATTTTTGTAATATTTTCAGTCTTGTACAAAATTTTAGTGGACGGACGTGTTGTGCGATACTATTTTCAGCACAAACGGGCTTTTACAAGATATGCATTTGCATATGTAAGTGCTACTTTTTTGTATGTCCTCGTATATTGAAATGTATCAGAGAAGTAGCATTTACATATGGGGATACATATCTTGTAAGAATGCTTTAATACTGTTCCATTAATGCGTTTTTGTATGCTTGAAATATTAATACAGCCATATGCATACAGCAGTAGTACAAGTGTATGATTAGAGTACGCATACGCTGTGAGAAACCACGCGTGTTAAATGGAAATGAAGGTTCATTTATACTGGCATGTATACACAGCAGCAAGCTCATGCCACCAACAGCGATGTTGTATGCATTAAATTTCAACTGGATAGCCATAAACATACATACATATGTATACGCAACCCACTGAAATTTCGACATAAAAATGTTGGGACTTATTCCTTTTACTAGGGTGTCGCTACCTCTAACAAGAATATGTCGGGAATGTCGCTTGTGCAGCTTTTGAGTTTTTAAATAAACAATTAAATAGACAATCTCAACACGATATCGTCAAAACGAGTGTCGTCATTTACTCGAAATTTTGAGGGTGTACGAGTCAAACGGACCTCAGATTCGGATTCAGCGGGTCAAAATACATGTCGGTAGGTGGGTCTGGTTAAAAGCACTGGCTACTTTTTTGCGTACCAGTAAAATCGTTATTCTTAAGTGAAAAAATAAAACTATATTTTAATTATTATTTTTGAGCGAAAAAATAAATATCATAAAATAATCAATAATAGTGATCGAAAAATAAAAATCACATATTAATTATTGTTTTTAATTTTTATTAGTTAAACTGGAAAATTAAAAATCATTGTAGATTACAATAGGACGTACGAATACAAATAGGTGAGTATAGTTAATATTGTTTTACGACGCTTGCAAATATTGATTTTATGGTTGAAAGTTGAAATAATGATTATTTTCCATCCCTGGTCAATACACTGTGCACAGGTAATAGCACCAGAGCTTATTGTTTACAAGCGACCCGTATTTTGTTGTTGATTTTGGTCTCTAAAATGTCAAAATAGGCAAACAAAATTTAACAATTTAAAGACCAAAGGCAAGAAAGAAATCCAAAGCACTGCTCTGCTGCCACTAATTTTTCAATATCTCTTGTGTGGGGCTATAAAATTTTGTAATTGATTTTCCCAACAGATACCAACGAATACATGTCCTTCGGCGTTTCACAAAATCCTGAAAAAAGCATTATGATTGGCTCTGATGTTGTAGTAGCTTGGGTTGAGAAAGATTCTGGTAAAGGCTTTGCAGTGGACTATTACTTGGGCGATAAGTCACAATGTTCTGGTGGACTTGGAGTTTGCCCAAAAGGCAACATTCAGGTTAAAAATCTCACCCGATAATAAGAAAGTCAATTTAAACATAAAATTATTTAATCGTAGAATGAGACAAACTCAATACGTCTACTAAACGCTGCTTGGGTTAATGGATATTCTATTGTTACATTCCAACGTTCTCTGCAATCAAATAGCATGCTTGATGTCCCGATATTGGTAAATAATTCTCAGGCCATCGTATGGGGTATCGGCCCACTTAATGAACGCCACGAAGCCTCATATCATACTCATTACACACGCTTGACAACTCGTATTGATTTTGGTCGGCAACCTATTTGGAACTGTCCATCGCCCGAAGGCAACAAACCAGCTGACGAGAGTGATGAAGACGAAGTCGAAAGTGGCCAGGGTTACCCGTCGTCTACAACTTCGAGTCAAACTAGTTTGGAGTCTGAAGAAGAACATTACAATACTCCGCAGGCGCTGCAAAGTGCGAATAGGCGTCAAGAACAAGCGCATCAACGGCCTCAATCGCACTCACGTCCCGTACCTACACCGAAAGTGTCGAACACTAATGGCGCATGGGACATTCCAGCTATAGAATGCTATGAACCAGAGGATGGTGTATTTTATGCACAAATGGGTCCAACAGGTGGAAAACATGGCTACTCTGCTATAACTGGTAACATACATACATAAATCACAAATATTTAATTTACTGTATACTTATATGCTCATACCCTGCAAAAAACGTAACTAATCTGGGATGACTTCGGGATCAATCGGAAAGGTACATGCGACTATTACCAATTTGGTTCTCCGGATATAGAATGAACTATTTCTTTTTGCTTGAGTGTGTCCTACAAAGAGACTACTTGTGCACCTTTATACCCGAACGGATATGAGAAGCAATTAGTCACTTTTAAAAAATAAGAATAATAAGTTGCCACAACTGAGATTCGAACCGTGGATCTCTTTGTTGCTGAGCCAATGTATTGCATCCCAATGCCGCATGTGAAAACCTGGTGATTAAGTGCATAATATTCGGGACTAATTGAGTAGTTAATGCCCAATTGCATCCCACGGAAAGTAATCCCTGAATACACTCTTTAAAGATTAGTCGCACAATTGTTTGCAGGGCACAATGTACATCTGTATGATTATGATAAGGTGGCCGGTATTTTTAAATTTAAAATTTTATTAGATTCCACCCACAAGATTTGCTGAATATGAATGAAATAAAAAGTTATTTGTACAAAATCTGAGGTTAATGGGGTAACGGTAAGGCGGGCTCAAAGTTCATTCAAAAAGCGGTGGCTGAGTGCGAAAATCTACACAGTTCTGTAGTAACGGTTCTTTAGAAAACCATCTAATGTGAACAAAAATCTAGTCGACTCGTTTTATAGGGGGAACACATATCGCTGGCTTGGAGTGAAAAGTTGCTCAGTCAGTTCATGGTGAAATCAAATACAGGTCTAGTCAAAATGTATTTAACAAAGTGTGTTCGAATTTGACATTGCTCTCAAAAGAACTATCCTATAGTGTCAAATTGAAACCAAATATGTATTTTAAATCGTTTATTTTTTTATTTTTTGACATTGTAGTACCTTAAAAGAGAACCGCACTGAGTTGTCAATCACATCTTGTTTTTAATAAATCTTGGGTGTAGTGGCGTGTGCCTTGATGTCACACAATGCAAAGGGACCTACGTTTCTAAACGTACAGGTAGTACGCACTTCTAACCGCTACACCACAGCGGCCGCCATAATCACACATAATTTGCTACGTCCCACGAAAAAAATGGCATCAAAGCTGTGGAACTCGATTCATACGCAGTTGTTTAAGCTTAGAAAATCTTATGTTAAAATCTTCGCAATATAAGTACTTAAAAATATGGTTTCGCAACTGTCTAGTCTCATCTGAATTTAGCGAAGTTTTGAACAAATGGATTTGTATACAAATTACCTAGATTTATAGATATAATCGAAGTAGTACTTCAATTGCCCTTTTTCTCTTCCATATTTATGGAATGCAATAAAAGTTAAGTGTCACAATCTTTAATTCGTTGAACACTTTTGAGCACCCTGCTAATCGCGAGTCTACTATATGTATGTATATAATTATGTACACGAACTTTGGTTTTAGGATTTAATATTATCCAATTGACCTGAAATTTTGTAGTACTAATTTTTCTATGAATTTCTACTAATTTATTAATTAAAATTGTTAAATATTGGCCACTCTAATGCATATACATATATATTTATCTACATTCATAAGTCGAGCTCAAAATAAAACCGACGAATATCGTAACTAATATCAAAATATCTCAGTCGGTAAAGGTTGGATTTCAAATAAAAAGCTAATTGATTTATCTATCTAATTATAAATAAGCAAAAATCAAAAGGGCAATCCATCTAAACGCGTAAAAGCCTCGTAACCACGTAAACCTCGTAAACTTACTTAATTTTGTAGGGAAAATCGGTTCATTTACGCGGTTACGAGGTTACTTACACATACATATAACATACTTTGATAGATATGGTAATGTAAATGGTGATTGCATTTGCATTCGCTTTTCGCTAGTTTTGCGATTTTAGATAATAACTTCGCAATTTTTACTGGAATAATTTATGCTAGATTAAAAACGAAACACTAATAATAACTAAAAATGAGTTGATAATAGTAAAAGTGAGGGCATAACCACTGAATTTTAACACGACCGATGTCCTACGAAATTCGTATCTTACCAATTCGCATATTTATCTAAAAAATACGAATTCATCATTTGTGTGCATACCCGCTTTTTCGGTAGGAAGTTTAGATGCGTATTACCGAACCATACGATAACATTTCTTCCTTCAAACCTTTTTCAGAGGTGAAACTTTTTGCTGGTAAGGTGATATTCGTCGTTTTTGTTCTGAGTTTCAACTAAAACACATGTTTATTTATGTAAATATTTGTGCATTTTGTAGGCCACGTTGGTTGGGGTATATCATGGTATATTAACGGTTTATTAATTCCTGAAATTCACGTTGTTCGCGGCAAAACCTATACGTTTGTGGTTGAAGGAGGTATAGATGCGGATATACCTGCGAAATACCATCCATTCTATATCACCGATGACCCTGTGGGTGGCTATGAACATAAACTAGAGGAAGAAAAAAAGGTGAGTTTAAACCACTTTTATATTCATATCAGCCCTTCAAACACAAATTTTGTTCTGAAAAAATGTGTTTGAAGGGCAGATAAGTTTTAAAACCTACATAAAAAAAAACGGCACAAAATGAGTTTGAAAATGACAGCGGTTTAGAAATCTGTTCAATTTTTTATGAAATCATGGGGCGTATTCTCGTTTTCGTACGCATCGAAAATATTGAAATTTACCTATAATCTTCTATACAAAAATTTCAAAAGCATACGCCTCATATTAAAAAGTTCTTTTCATGAGCGGTTATCATTGTAGGTTGATCAATTTAAGCCAGTAGTTACATCTACTAGCGATTCTATTTTGATTTTTAGTTTATTCATCATTGGGCCCGTTTCCAAGACGTAGCTGTAGCTAAACTGTTGAGTGTTTGTTTAAGAAACGCACATTTGAGTAGTTCCACTCAGCTCAACGGTTGGCAAGTTTACGCCATTTTTTCCATCATAAAATTATTTCGCTACATGAAGTCAACAATTTATATATGTAAAACAAAAATGATGTTTCCCTTCCGTCAGTTTTCATAGAAAATCAAATAAAAAATAATTTGTCTGTAAATTGCTGGCGAAACTGGCTGTTAATAAAATAAAATACACGTACAAATACATACATATATTAAAAATTAAATAAGAAAAACTCCATTATAAATCCTGTGCTCTCCATGTTTTTGGCTTAATATTTTTTTTATTTTTGTGCGGTTTTATTTAATTTTGCTTATTTACAAATGGTTTGGCAGTTTATGTATCATGCCGTTTCTAAGACGTAACTGTTGAACTCAACAGTTGACAGCATTTCAGCAACAGTTGAGGTAAACAGTTGCGTCTTAGAAACGGTTTGATACATAAATGCGCCCAATGAAATTTTATTTTTATTTTTCGAGCTAAATAATTTTATTTTTTTTTTGTTTTGGACATTTTTTATCTTCCAATTAATTTAACTTAAAAGGCCATACAGACGAATCCAACCGAAATTTCAATCAGAATTATTTTAATTTTTTATGGTTAAAGACGAAAAATATTAATCTTCAGAGACTATAACAGAACATTGAAAGAAAACTATGAGTCGAGAGAGTTTTTTGCAAAGCTTAGCCATGGTTTTTAAATTATAATTTAAAAAATAATGATTATCTTTCATCCCTGACTATTTTATGTTGTATAGAATTTTTTTTTTTTTTTTTATAAGGCAGAATTTAGAAAGAATATCTCAAGCGATTTTTCATTTCGATTGAAAAGTTAGCTATTAATTTACTTTTCACTGAACAGTTATTATTATTTTCTTCGACTTACAGGGTGTACGCATATTCGCTGGTGTGCATCGTTCTCGTTCTGGGCAATTGACGCCAACTGGGGTTGGTCGTCTCTGCAACTGGACACCGGATGTTGATGGCCCCTTGGCTGATGATTTTCAATCATTTGGGGCCTATCAACGTACATTGACTTTAAAATGTGATCCCGGTGAACCCGGCGTTATTACTTGGACTCCGGACCATAATACACCAGATACTGTTTATTACCAGTGCTTCACTCATCGTTATTTGGGATGGAAGATTCACGTACATGATTTCTGCGATGATTCACGTTTCATTGCATCGGCATCGAAGAAATACGAAGTTCGCGTACCATATCACGCTCCCGGCGATGGCGATGATATCGCTGCTGAGGCATCAATTCGTCACGAAACAAAGGTCAGCCCCAACGATAATTTTTTATTGAAGCACCAAACAGATTTGATTAAAAATCATAATATGAATGGAACACCGCCAAAATTGACATTTGAAATAACAAAATCATCGGAAATTACTAAACTGATTTCAGATGGAATCCGGGCTGCAGAAGCTCTCGAGGAGAGCATACTAAGGAACACCAACAACCACAACCGAAATGTCAACAACAATAAGAATATAAACCATATTGCTGCTAAGGTCCCGATGCGAGGTTTACCTACCAATAAACAACAAGAGCAACTGTCAAATCCGAGTCCGACAGCAAGTATCCAAATGAATGACATAGAAGCTGCTCAAGGACAAATATCGTTCGAACCACGTATTACCACATCCGTACCGGAAACATTACATGGAGAAAATCATATCCAATCATATCACAAAACTCCACAATCATTGTTACACATTAACTCTAAAAAAATATTATCGTCCACATTATCATCAACACCTCTTCATCATCATATGCATCACCATTCACATCACCATCTAAATAATCTTACTAATATTGCATTGCAATCACAGAAAACAATAGGTCTCTCAGAGTTTCTCCGCCCACCACATAATGCAGCTCTTTTTCATCCAGTCAAATTACCAGGACGTCGACCATACATTGGACCAATAAAGAAGGTGCCAGCCACCAGGACTGTACTTCCGCAACAGTTACACCGCATACCACATCCTCCCATACAGCCCATACCACAACCTTCTGTTATAGTCAGTCACTATCACAAGCCGGTGCCGAGCCTGCTGAAACCATTTATCAAAGAAAACCCACTTCCAATTCAACCTATAGCAGCGTCCGTATTATTGCTGGGTCAA